CTATAGGAGGAGTTGTTTGAGCATACGTCGAGCATCTACGTTTTTGATGAGTTTGACGTAAGTTTTTTCTTTTATTTGTAAATTATGTGTTGTTTAGTAGTATATCATTTTAATTTCAAATCATAATAACCTATGATTTTATTATAAAAATCGTTTGAAAATTGTTCCCCATGATAAACTTGAATTGGCTAGACTGACACTCGACAACAATGAACACCTTGTGAAAACTATAAATATGGTGAAATTTAGGCATATTGATGAGATGAAGCATGAGATTCTAAAGATGGTGAGAGAGCACCCATTGACTTCCTTCCTATAAGCAGCCAGATGGTTACATGTGCCTGTACAGCATGACGGGCATGACTAATGGCTCCTTGACGAGCTGGATGTTGATTGAGAGGCCCTGGAAATGGGTTGTTCGGATTATAAAGAAGGTGTTTGCAATTGATCAATTAACCCCTTTTGGTTCTTGCTGAGGATGATTAGTAGGTTGGACTCATTGTCAATATCCTTTTCCCTTTTGGAGCAACTTCTTCAGAGTCACACAGATGGTCGTGCCCACACAAACAAACAAAAAATTGTCAAATTAAGGGTTGTTGGTGATTCCCAATGAAAGGAATGCATGCCTAGTGAGTGGTATACATACTATTTTGTATTAGATTACATGTAAATCTTTGGGCCTAGTTTTGTAATGGCCATCTGTGTGAAAGAGGAACTTTTTGGGCTCAAAGTAATGAAAAATAGGATCTTGTGGTGGCTTGAAAATTAAGTTGAATTAATTGGAAGTTATTATCAACTAACATATTTGAAATTTCTTTGAGGCTTTTTGGGGAAATGGAGATGATAGAAAAACAGTACAGGTTCAAAGATATACTCTCGGCAAATACTAATGTGGTACAATTTTTGGTAGAAATTGTGGCTGACAACCAATAACAACATTATACTTCAAGAAAAATGAGCTGGAAATCAATTTAGTACAAGAAATATCAAACACACCCTAAAGTTTTGAAAAGAAGAGCTAGCTTGCAAAAAGAAAAAGTAAAAAAAAGAAGATAAATTAGATTCTATTTTTTTAATTTTTTCAATAGTCTCTAGTTTAATTTAGTTTGCAATAAAATTCGCCGCCCATCTCGCCAATGTCACAGTCCAATTCGCCACCTGTTTTTCATCACTTCTTCTCAAATTCCTCTCTTTCCTCAATCAAACGACCATAGGCTGAAAGAAGGTAAATTTTTTAAATTTTTTTCGATTTTGTATGATTTTCTTAGTATTGTTTGTTGTGGGTTCAAAATTTTAATTTTTCTCTAATGTTGCTCTATATATATATGTTTGGTTTTTGGGAATGTTTTGAGTTGGGTGCTTCATTTGGGCATGTTTAGTTTAAGGATTCATCTTTACAAAATTAAGAAAATCATGGTAAAGATTGAGACAACACCTAAAACTGCACTTGTAGAGTTAAAAGACTCTGACCAGATGGCCAAGCCCAAGCTACATCAAATGGAAGCATACTTCGAATTGTTCAAGACTTCTGCTAAATTAATTAACCCAAAGCGTAAATGGGAAGACAAGGCAATATAAAGGCAATAAGAAGCAATATACAAGCAATAAGAAGGCAATAAAAAAGCAATACGTAAACTTAGTCCAATTTCTACTTTATAATTGCCAAGATAGGTGAACAAAAAAGTTATAATACCATAATACAAGAGCAATAGGAAGGCAATTTAAGAGCAATATGAAGGCAATACGTAAACTTCATAGTCGACTTATAATTGCCAAGACAGAGGTAAAAAAAGGTGCTAGGAGGACATCAACAAAAGAGCAATATTAAGGCAATATAAGGGCAATACGTAAAGTTGATTGTCCAACTTCAACTTTATAATTGCCAAGAAAGAGGTGAAAAAAAGGTTATATTACAGAAATAAAAGAGAAATAGAAAGGAAATGTGAGGACAATGAGAAGGCACTACGTAAACTTGATAGTCCAGCTTCAACTAATGACTGTGGGAGCATATAATTTTATAAAGAAAAGGAAAAACTTGACCATTGTTGGAGAAAAACATGATATTTCATCAAATTGTGAAATTAGTTTATCTAATCCAGGATGTTTTTATAAGGATGGTAGTTTATACACCCTAAAACACCATCTCATAATTAAGGCATAATCTTCATAACTTGACCTTCAGAAAATGGATGAGAGAGAGAGAGAGGAGAGATGAGTTGGAATAGTTAGATTCAAATTCAGACAATCTAATTAGATGCTCTTCGAATAGCTTGGTTAGATTCTATGTGTTTCCTTTTGTCAGGTGCAAAAGAGAAGAGAAGATCTAGGACAGCTTCAAACAATGAATCAAGGGGAATAAAGGGTGAATATTGAAGTATATGGAGGGAAATTTTGTACATAAACCCCAATCATTAATGCTCACTCTAGTACCACAACTGACATAGTAGTATGGACTAGTTGTATTTTTACACGTTGGCAAAAATTAAGACATTAAACTTAAAGGCATTATTAGTGTAACGTGGTCGGTAACGATGGTTGTGGTTAGAAGTCTTCTTCAACATTCTCCTAGAAATATATCATTCAAACATTTCAATGTTGATGAAATTGGTGAACTCGAATATCTTTTTTGTATGGTGATTGTTCCTTTGATTTCTCAGTTGGGTTTCCTATCACAAAACTCGAATTTATCTATTCTAAATGTGATTGTGTTGAGGCCCCAAATGTCAAGAGAAACTCAAAGGCATCTAAAGCCCAATATAACATGCAATATTTGCCACGTGCTAATCCTCGTTATATTTTTGAAATTAATTCAATAAATAAATATAGAGGTACTTTCATACGAGTTCAAATAGTGTACATGCTGAAGCCGGTTTTTGTAACAACCCAGTCTTAAATTATTAATTAAATAATAAATTGTTCAAGAAAAAGAGAATTTTACTCTGGGAATATTTAAATGATTTAAGAGTTCACTTTTGTTCGGGGAAGATTTTGGTGAAACTAACATCCCGGTCTGAAAGAGTAATAAAATAATTAAAATAAGAGGAAATAAATTTAAATGAGAGAAATAAACAATAAAATAAAATGATTTGAATTAATTAAGGTTTTTGAAGATTAAATATTATTTAATATAAAAAGGGCAAAAAGGTTATTTTAAGTTCGGGAAGGAATTTGGAAATTTTAATTACACCTTTGCGTAGAGCACATCGATATGAGTCCGTAGACACGTAGTGAGCTCAAATCGGAGTTGTAACGAATAAGTTATGATCTACGGAAACTTGGTGGTATAACCGTAAATATTTCAAAGTTCAGTTTTTATAAAAACTCAGATTTTCTTCTCTTGGAGGACACGACCAGCCAACTTCAGACCTTGATTTCTCCCAACTCCGGCCACTGTTTCAAGCAAGATGGGTCCCAAACGAACCACCTCACTTCCCTCTTTCAGTTCCAGCCCATCCCAGCCTCTATACGAGGTCTTGGTCGCCGAAAACTGCTACGAAATAGGGCGGTTTGGACAGTTTTTGACGAAATTTCACGGAGCTCGTTCGGACACCTCCGGCCACCATTTTCTTCGAATTTGGTACGATTTTCTATCCTTTCGATGTGTTCTAGCTCCTGGTTGTGTTATTTAGGAGAAATTTATGAGTTTTTGTGGGTAAATAACCTATAGAAATTTTGGTCAGTTTCGGCCTCCGATTCCGGCCACTTCCGTCAACTTTTTGGGGTAGGTCCAAGAACAAAAGTTGCTCCACTCTATGTGGTGATCATGTAGGTATAAGTCTTGACCGGCAGTTTGGAGATTTTCCCGATTGCCAGAATTGCTTTGGACAGCCACGCGCTGCCTGCGCATGTGGAGGCACGTGGGCCACTTTTTGGCTTGTCCTTGCTTCCTAAAATCATCATCATGTTGTCCCGAGTATGATGGTATACTCGTATATGAATTTGAATATCGTTTGATTGTCGATTAGATATCACATATTAGGCATTATCCGGGTTCGAAATGCTCGAACTGTTGGATCGACTCCAATTCAATATATATTCATCTAAGCATTCTTAGGATCGTGCAAGAATTCGCGGCTGGGGTTGTATCCGATTCCACGTTTCCAACACGAATAAGTCTACATTACATACATTTCAACCTTGTCTTTTTATATATCTGTTTCAGTCGGCGAGCTACAAACTATTTGTGTGTCCACTTCACACAAGTACTGTTTTTTTTTTCTTTTTTAAAACAAGCGATATTGATGGGAAACGAAATAAAAAAGCATGACCTCGGCAAAGATACCCATTTAACCAACTAGAGACATTTAGCTGGAAAAAAAAAATTCAAATCTTTGGTTATACTGAATATAAATTTTACAAGACTTTGGTGGAATTAAAAAGTTCAGGTGTATTCAATGTTCACAAATATAAAATCTGTAAAGACAATGTGGTCTCCAATTATGACCCTTATAGGAACTTGATAGACTTTTTTGAGAATTTTATAGTTATCTTGAAGCAAATTATAATTGTTTTTGTTTACAAACAAAATCTTAAAGTTCCTGGCACCAAACTCACACACTTTTTCTATTTGAAAAGGAGAAATTTTGTGTCATTAAAAACCATACAAAAAAGTGGACAAGTAATCCACCAATAACAGGAAGAAACAGGAATTATGAGAAGAAACCAATCCTAAGCAAGACACTGCAGCCTTCAAAAGCAAACTGTTTGAAAGAGACATGATCCTAAAAATAGGAGAATAGAAGCTCATAGCTCACATATTAGTATACCTAGCATCCAAGGATTTCTGCTTTTGTATGAAATCCTTTGAAATCCAAAGGAGGGGATGTTGTAGAATCATGACTTTTCTATGACACGATTTTAAGTAAATGTCTTTCCGTGTAACTTTGATGAATGTGTGGAGGTGAAACCAAGCACGCATAAAAGTTTCAGTTCTGCAATTAGGTCCCCTCCCCAACCTACCTACCCAAGCTAGTAATACATAGGCATGATTCATGAAAGACTCATATTTGTGTGTTACCATGCATGCTTTCTCCACTGTAGGTAATGTGAAGAAATCCATCTTCATCCTTATTTTCCTCATCGATTGCAGACATCAAAGCACCTGTAACATTGGATTGAGGAATTGTTACAACGACAACTTTGCAAACAAGATATTATCACGCCTAACACTAAAATGAGTTCCAACTCACTAGTGGGAGGTTCAGTGTTCTTGAAAAAGAGAAATATGGGCTTTTTTCTGCTGAGCCTGATGGTGACCTGAATAAAATCAACAAATTCTCGAATAGGCATATCATCATAGACAAGAAAACTGCACTCAGAAAAAAAGGATTGACAATAAAACAATCTGAGAACCCCTTCATTTAAGATAAGCTACGAACAGCAATGAACTTCAAGTTAACCTATGTAGTATTAAGTATGTTTTCCAATCCTATATACTAATATGGAGTATAAGATTACTTGGTTGGCAGACTTGGCCACTTAGGTAACCAATTCATGCAAACCACAATAATAAGGACCATTCGTAACCAACCATAGAACTTCACCTAATGTACTGAAATGTTTTCCCCCACAACTTGTTTTTTTTTTGGTTAAAATGAAACTGTGTAGGAAAGATGCACATGACTAGATCCTATTTGAGTGCATATAGATTGCAAGTGCACATTAAAATGCACAACTGATGCAACAAAAACATAACAAGCTATGAACACAAATGAACTTAGAGTTTGCCTTTCTTTATAAATCTTATATCCAGTTATGGAATATGAAAATTACTTGGTAGGAGGCCTTCGCTACGTAGTTAATCAATTCATTCAAACCTTCACCATCAGTACCATTCCCTTACCACTCCTACAACTTCACTTAATGTAGTGAAACGTTTTTCCCACACAAGATATATAAATATATATTGGAAAAGTGCAACTCTAAATGAACGATACACATCATGAGTCATGACTAGATCCTATCGATGCGCTATAGATTGCATATACACATTAAAATTCACATCTCACAATATAAACCTAACAATTATTGGGTCATGCTTTCAAAAATCTTTTTTTTTTTTTCCTTTTATTTTTTCCTGACCAATTTCAAAACATATATCAAAAGCATAAATGAAATGGGAACAATTCTATTTGAATGTACAAATAATACAAATCAACATAATTAAAGCACAAGAACTAACGTCTTCCCGTCCATGTCAGGAATGTCACTACTTGCATCCTTCTTCACAATCACCTGAATGAAAGCTCAAATTAGTATAGAGGATATCTACTGAATGCAAAGGAAGTAAAACATTTGAAGCAGTAAAATTCTTACAGGTATGCGATTTGGGTGTGTCTCCCTCAAATAACGAGCATTTAAACAAGGACGATGGTCTTTGTGGCCATTCATTTGATTCCTTATCCTATATCAAAAGCGTAAATGAAAACAAAAAAGAAAAAGAAAAAAAGAATCCCATTTCATTAAAATCGAGATAAGCAAAGCACAAGTGAATCGAAAACTAACCTCCTCCGGGGGCTACCAGGAATGTCGGTCCTCAAAGCCTTGTACACAATCACTCAAATTAGAACAGTGCATCCACCAAATGCAAAGGACGTAAACATATTTGATTCAGTGAAATTCTTACCAAAAAATGGGCAATGAAATCAGAAGGGACTAGATAAGTAATGGGCCTTGTGCAAGCATACGCCAATCTTTTCCTTCCTTTTTTTGGTGATTTTCTGAACACATATCAAAAGCATAAATGAAAAAGAAACAATCTTTTCCCCTTGTAGCAATACAAACGAAGATTTTAAAGCATAAATGAAAAGGAAACAATCTTTCCCATTGGAGCGATACAAATGAAGATTTTAAAGCACAAGGAAATAGGAAACTAACTTCTTTTTCCCAATGTCAGGAATGTCAATGGTTGCACCATTCTCAAATCAGAACAGAGTATGCCCCCAGTGAATGCCTAGGAACTAAACAATCTTATTCAGTGAAAGTCTTACTGGAGTCCGATGTGGATTGTTCTCTTCTGTTTGGGTCATTCCTAAAACATTTTAGCCCAAAAAATCAGTAGAAAATCGATGAGAAAGAAAACTTAGACAAAAACTAATGGGCAATTTCCAAAATAAATTCTGCATCTACGAAATTTTGAACAAATATTTAAAGAACTATACTGACCATGTAATTAACCCAAAAAAAGAAGCAAAAAACACATACCCTGAGGATATTCGTTCTTGAAAGAGCTTTTGGCCATGGTGAAACGCACGCTACAGTTCTCTGCCAATTTTCAAACAAGGAAACATCAAAAACCTAGAAATTAACTCACAACATCAAAGGCGAGGAAAAAGTTGTCGGTGGAAGTATTTCTCTATAACATAACACACCAAAGATCGATTCGATTAGGGTTTCGGTAGTTGTGAACTGGGAAAACAACAAAGGATCAAAATCAATGAAAGGGAGAGAGAACTATATATATCACCTTTTTAGTGGGCGACTCTATCTGCTTCCGGTTCACAATAGATCTCTCTCTCTCTCTCTCTCTCTCTCTCTCTCTCTCTCTCACACACACACACAATGTCTCACTATGGGAAACGATTCGATTAGGGTTTTGGCAATTGGTATTCCACGAAAAAAACCATACATTTGAATCTTTCTCTATTTATATAACGTTTTAGGCGGCGTGTTTCATGTCCGCTTCACAACCTTTTGTTTTTTCTTTTTCTTTTTTGATAAAATTTTAAAAAATAAGTGGTTATATTGTATTGGTATTGATTATTGAATATGAATTTTTTTTCAAAAAAAAAAATTGGTGGAATTGAAAGGTTTTTTTAAAAAAAATTCTTTCAAGAAACTAAAATCGATGGAGCTGAATTTACCTTATTAATGAAATGAACTAAAACGACACGAGTGAACTTTCACAAGCCCAATCCCTTTTTATATTTCTTTTTGTCCATTTTACTATGCACAATAATTCAAGTACCATACTGGTAAATCACATATATGTTATTTGAAAAAACTATATCTAAAATGCAAAACAGTTTTGAGGTGTCTGCAACTGCAAAACATTTTCTTTTGTTTTACTCCCTTTTACTAAATTTAATTTAAACATATTGTTAATGTACCAATTTATCTTTATTCAATATAATATCTTCTCTTTTAATATTTTTTTATTTCTTAACATAGTGGAATTTTTTGGATTTTGAATGTTTCACCTTTCTACTTTTATATAGATAGACGAATATTTACATGTATGTAGTTTATAAATGGGTTTTGAGTGTTTAATGATGGGTTTTGGGTGTGTTTATAAAGTGTTTTGGGTGTTGGGTTTTTTTATAATTTCAACCTCCATTTTGGGTGTTTTAGTGAAACTCCCTTTATCATATGGGACATAAATTGAAAAAAAAAAAAACATGTGAAGACATATATATATATATACCAAGCCCTTCAACAAGATTACCACAACAATCAACAACTCAACATAATAAATAAATGAGATGGAGAATTTTAATTGTGAGTTTCAACAAGATTGCTTTCACCCCTCTTCATAAGGCCAAATCTACCAAGCCCTGTCGAAGGATTCCTAAGGTATAATTGCATTAATATCATCATACTTGAATTTGGATTAATGTGGACACTTTAATTCCAAAGGTATAGGTAATGCTAGATTTTAAGGGAATGTAAATCTGCGTGAGTGAGTAAAGAATGTCACCAAAGTGGGAGTAGGAACATCTTGTAAAATTTGCACCAAAGTCCAGTATTTTTAAATCTTGTCCTAGGCTGGATATAATATTCAAAATCTAATCCAAAACTCTCATTCCTTAAGAGAGGTCAGGAGTTCGATCCCTGCTCTCGTATGGAGTCACCACTTTGGCCAGCACTTTACTCCTTACGGGCCGACCCGGTGTGAACGGGGATTAGTCTGGGTTGTGGTTAAGGCTTAAAGGTGCCACCCATAGTTGGGGCCCATCCAGGACCCCCCCGGGGTTCAAACCAAAAAAAAAAAAAAAAAAAAAAAATCTAATCCAAAACAAGGGATGGATTGATGATTATGGATCCACAAAATCCTCTCAAAAGGATCCCGCCAACTACTTCAATTGCATTATTGTTGTAAAATTGTTTTAGGCTTTCTTTCTTATAACCACGCACTCTTCCACTACTGACATGTTTACTTATTTGGAATAGGAGGCCCACTTACTTTTTAGGTGAGGCTCACTTACTTTTTATTTCCCGGTTTCAGTCGTAAATGTTGACGTGACTTGTGGATAATGACTTACTTTCCTTACACACCAAGAATTCCTATTATAATTGTAATTGATATACTTTAATTCCTGATTTCCTACTGTTAATAGATTTAGGAATTTATTATTTACTTGCCCATTCAGGTTTTGTTGCATTATAAATATGACCTCCTACAAGGAGAAGAATATACAAAAAATTCCTACAAACAAATATTCTCTCATAGTTTTCATATTTTAGCATGGTATCAGAGCGGCGATCTTGGAATTATTGACTCTAGTTTCACACCCCCGCCACCGCTATGGGGGTTGATGATTTTTTCATCCTTCATAGAGGTAGCACCAAAGACTCCTTATCTCCTTCTCAACTAACCATAGTTGAGTTGAGTGCCCAGATGGCTCAGCTCCTACAGATGCAGACTTTGGCCCCGAATCTGATCCTAAATCAGGATCCTCTTTTGACCACCCCGACCTCGACCTCGACCCCGACTATGATGACGACGACGACCTCGACTCTGACTCTGACAACGACCTCTACCCCCACTTCGATGATGACTCCGACCCCAAATTTGTCTTTGATTCAGACCCGATCCTGACTTCGACTTCGACTCTGACCCCGACTCAGGCTCAGATCCCGATCCGAATTCCTACTAAACCTGTATCCTATACATCTTCCGCTGCATAGATTATAACTTCTCGACTAACGACCCCAACACATGGACCAGATTGCGAATATTATGGTGATCCGAGACACACTCATGAGACTTGTTTTAAATTGTATGGCTATCCCGATTGGTGAGCTACTCTTAAAGATCGAGGACAACGTAATACGACTAGTAATGGTATTGGTTATGGATTCCATACTTCTTCTAAGATTGATTCCAGGGGCTGGATAATTGATTCTGGTGTAACTGATCATATGACGTTTGATCCTGATGATTTTCTGAATACTACACAACCTCGACGAACCTGTATTGCAAATGCCAATGGCGTTACTTATCCTGTGACAGGGGCTGGCACTGTTGCACTCTCATCCTCTCTCACACTGTCTAATACTTTACTTGTTCCATCTTTATCTACTAAATTGTTGTCCGTTAGTCAGCTTACTGAACAATTGAATTGTTGTGTACCCATTTACCCGAGTTTTTGTTTGCTTCAGGATATTCACACTAAGGAGATTCTTAGTCGTGGTACTAAGAGAGGGGGGATATATTATGTAGATGACTTCAGTCCCGGCGTGGCTAACAATGTGACGCATCGCTTTGATAGCAAACAACAACAAATTTGGTTATGGCACCGTCGATTGGGACATCCGTCTTTAAGTTATATGAAGCATTTTGTACCAGATTTATTCTCAGGTTTCAAGGACTCCGACTTCACATGTGATACTTGTATTTTGGCTAAGACTCACCGTGTGCCCTACCCATTGAGTACGAACAAGTGTACTACTCCATTTACGTTAATTCACTCTGATTGTCTGGGGACCTTCACCTATCACTGCTCCTTCTGGTGTTCGATGGTTTGTCACATTCATAGATGATTGTACACGGATGACATGACTTTATTTGCGGAAGAATAAAAATGAAGTGTTTTCCTATTTTCGGTCCTTTCACAAACAGATGAAGACTCAGTTTAATGCTCAAATCCAGATTCTTCGCTCAGACAATGGTTGAGAATTTGTCAATCATGACTTTCAGACTTACTTCCAACGACATGAAATTATCCATGAGACGACTTGTCCACAGACACCGCAACTGAAACCGCCCGAGCACTTCTGATTGGGGCTCATGTTCCTCGCCATCACTGGGATGATGCTATTATCACCGCAGTTCACGTGATCAACCGCATGCCTTCTGGTGCATTGACCTTTAAAACTCCCTTACAGGTGCTTGCGCAACACAAACCTCCACCCTCTGTTTTGGTACTCACACCCCGAATATTTGGATGTGTGGCTTTCATTCATCTCCACAAAAATCAACATAGCAAACTTGATCCCTGTGTGCTTTGTTGTGTTTTTGTAGGTTATGCCACTCATCAGAAAGGCTACCACTGTTATCACCCTCCTACTCGACGTACCTATGTCACTTTGGATGTAACCTTTCTGGAATCTGAGTTGTTCTTCCATGACCCATCATCCAATTCTGCGCTTCAGAGGGAGATACGAAGTGT